GACCAGATTACCCAAGACAGATGTTAAATGGATAGTCCACCCAAAAGTGAAAATTCTGTCATCATTTACTCACCCTCATGTCATTCCAAGAATGTCTTTCTTCTGCTGAACACCAAATAAGATATTTTGAAGAATGTTGGTAACTAAACAGTTTTGGTTCCTATTGTCTTTCATTGTCCATAGAGTCAAAGTCGATGGGAACTGCAACTGTTTAGTTATCAACATTCTTCAAAATATCTTCTTTTGTGTTTAGTTTAAGAAATTCATTCAGGTTTGAAGCAATATGAGGGTGAGTAAATGATGACAGAATTTTCAATTTTGGTTGGGCTATCCCCTTTAATATCATGGTATAAACAGAGTCATTGTTGATATGAGGAGGGCATGAGGCAATAGATGTAAAGAAAAGAGAACGTAAATGGCTACAGACAAGGCAAGTGGGATTTTACAATACAGGAAATAAGAGAAAAAAAAAGCGAGAATGCTGGGAAAAGGAGCAAGGGAGAATGTGCCGATACAAGAAGAGCCCTGAAGTGCAGTGAAATTCCGAAATTGAGATGTAGAGTCAGAGAAATGCCCCAAAACTGTGTTTTGCCCAGGGGCAAAAAAAACAAATGGATTATTTCCCCAGGAAGCTTTAGCACAGTGTCTTTACACAGCCTAAGCCCTGTCCTGACAGATGTCTGCGCGAGACTCTATCTCTCTTTCTACCTCTACTGCTTTTCCTTCTGCGTCTTTCTGCATTTCTCTCTCTCTCTCTCTCTCTCTGTCTGCATCTCCGCCTCACCCTCCTCCTCTCCTCAGAGGCCTGGCTGACTTGGGAGCGTATGTCTTCATTAAGACAGCTGTCAGGTCTAGCAAGTGGAAGGGTAGAAAAAAGAAAGGAGAACTTCAAAGGCCCGTGAGCTGTGTCCCAGAGGATTGTGCACTGAGCTGGGGCTGGGTGAGCACAGTCTGTCTCCTACTAAAAATCTCACTTTACCCACATGCTACTGTTTGTTCTGCTTGATTCTGTCTAGTCTGACACAAACGTCTTCAACCAGCTCATCTCAGGAAATAATAAGCCCAGGAGATCAAACGCATCGATCTCTGGCAGCTAATCACTAAATCTCATGTTTTAGAGCTGTAACAAATAATTAGACATGAAGAGAAACTAATTGATTTTATTTAAGACATACTGTTATCAGAATCTAAGGATTAAAAAATGGCACAAAATATTATCAATGATTATAAAAAAATCTAGAACGAATAGGATTGTTTCAAATATATCCCGTCATAGTAAGATTTGCTCTTTCTGTAACAACGTACTGAAAAATAAATTGTGATGTAACTATTTCCACTCAGAAATTGCTAATAAATTTCACAAATAATTACAAAGAAATGCAAGAAACAAGTTAAATCAAACATGAAGTAGAAAGAATTAAACAACATTTTCTTGTTTTATTTACAGTTTCAGTTTTTTTTTTACAGTGATGTTTAAATTACTATTGAAAATGTTTGGTTTAGAATTTTGTCGCCTTGATGATGTCATTTTGTATTGATATGACAAATTACTGAATAAATGTGAAGGATATTTTCATTAGACAAAAAATATTATTAACCGACCAATTCAAACCAACCATGTGTAAGGCACATAGTATTGACCCAAATAATGTCATGCCAATGCATCTGTCTGCTCCAGAAATGCTCTGGAAAATGAACTGAACCTGGTGTTGAAAGGTGGAAAACAAAAGACCCTGAGACATCTTTGGCCTCTTTGCAATGTCAGCAAACACTCCAGCGAGCACCCAACATCAAACACACACATCCTGGAGCTCGGACAGGTAATCTGTCTTTCCTGGACCTTCAAAGGGTCCGGTCAGGAAGCCCTGCCGTCCTGCCACCTAGAGAGGCACATTGGAGGCCGAGTATACAAACTGAAAGGCAGAGAGATGGATGTGAGGATATTCACAGAGGCCCACAGTGCTGGAACTGGTCCGAATGGTAGATCTGGGGATTCAATTAGTATCAGATGACATTGGCTGGTGGTGACAGGTAGGGTTAACCAGACTGGGTATTAGGGCTGAAAGAGGGAACAGGGAGCACTCATCAAGGTCAAAAATGTCTGTGTGCATCACCATGTTCTATAGAGGTGTGAAATTACTGGATGTCTAAAGATCTGGACAGTCAGAAGCGAGAGCCACCCATATAGGCAGGGCCAGATTAACATAAGGGCTAGGCGGGGATGAAGCCCCAGGGCCCGCGGATTGAGGGGGCCCGACGTGATTAGCTGTGGAGGAAAGGAAAATTAGACCTAGAGTTGATTGGCCATCGGGAGCACCCGGGCTTTTCCCGGTGTGCCGATTGCCGAAATCCCACCACGCCCCCACATATTAGTGTCTGCGCTATTTCAGTCCAAAATATATGAGCGATAAAAAATGTCTTTGTACTCGTTTACACTAGAGTTGCGGGTATCTTTTAATCGCCTTGGCTTTACTGTAGTGCACGGGAAACAAACACTAAAAGCCAAGTGATGAAACGGCGCTAAGTTACCTGATTAAACCGCGCAGCGCAAGAGAACAGCTGGCCCAAACCAGACCGGTGTCTCCCACCCGCGACTGTAGCTCGACCCTTTCGCCGCTCTATTGAAGTGATAATAAGCAGCGCTTGCCCATTTGAACTCCACACAAGACACTTATATTTGAACAGTAAATTCTCTGTGGTGAAGCTAGTAGAAACCAGATTGAATAGCACCGACCCAGCACCAGACCTAGGCTATTTAACATGCATTTACTGACACTGTAGAAATACGGTTAATGATATTTATTATTAATGTCACGGAAATTGTAATAGGATACTTATAGCCTATTAAATATTGGTTCAAATAAAGGCAATAAGTCAATTTTATAAAGGTTTACTATTCTATAGTTAACTCTGGATTCAAGAATCAGCTTTTCATTAGGGCAACCACAAAGGTTATAATAGTTCTAATAAACTTTAATTGCAGAAAAATATGAATTCAATAATTAAGAGTCTGCAATATAATGGAATATTAATATTGTTAAATGCATTTTAAGTATTCAAAAATATCATTTGTTTTCGTCCGTTATTTATTAATAAATAATTTATTCCAATTGCCCTAACCCCAGCAAAACATTTATGGGGGACTGTGTGGGCCAGATGGGCTGAATTTTAGCACCAGTCCAGCCCAGATGATTCTCCTCTTCCAGGGCCAGAAAGAAGACCTTTTTAATAATAAAACTATTTAAAGTAAACTCCTTAAGGGAGCTGTATATGCTCAAAAGTTGTTGCTGCTTCTGGAAACCTGTTTGCTTTGACTTCATATATCTGGTGTTAATGTATTTATTATTTTAATGTGTTGTAGCCTGGAATATTTAGTGTGCATACACATTGTATCTCTGTGTGTTGGAGACTGGATAAAAAAAAAAAAGATTCCTGTTGTAGAAAACGTTGTGGCACCAAGATAGGTTACTATGAAGGGGGGCCCTTGGGTTTGCTATAGCCCCAGGGCCCTATGTGTTCTTAATCCGGGCCTGCATATGACTATTTAGTTTATATATAAATTAAGCAAACTCTCCAAAACCTGTTTCTGCTTCTTGTACAGGGCAGGAATTAAAGCATAGGTTATTAAGAGGCAAATAAATATGGTCACACTTTAAGGTGTGACCGTAATTATTAAATATGACTTTTGCCCCATAAACTCCTAATATGCTGCTTATTAAGTAAGGTAGTTGCTAACTTTAGCATCAAGCAGAATTATATCACGTTGCAGCATATGAAAGAAAAAAAGATTATGATTGGTCAGACAACCACATATTCCGACCTCCACACTCACACCACTGGTTCAGCCAGTGTTAACATTTTCTGCATATATATAACTCAAGGAAAAAAAAAAACATAAAAAATACACACTTCAGCTTTAAATTAATAGCTTTAAATAGCTTGATTTGGTGCCCGTGTTCAGTATACTAAAAGTTAGAAATGTATTTTAGTTGCACTTTAAATGTATTTAATTTAAATTAAATGAATTAATGTCAGTGCATAACAAAATATCAACTAGCCAACTAGGTTTAAAAAAAAAAATTAAGCCAATAGATATACAGCTTAAAATGAAGACAAAAACGATTTAGACACTTTTTAGTTGACAAAGCATATTGCAACATGTTCATAGTTAACATGATGAACTACACCCGTGGTATTGAGCTAGACACCTATGTGTACTTGGAGCAAGCCAACCTGATCTCATGAGACAATGTAATTATTTTACGAGGTGGCAATTTCATATGAATTTGAATGATTTTATTGAAAGATTTTTAGAAAAGGCATGAAGGTCCAACTCTAAACCAAACACCCAGTAGGGCATAAGAGGATTGTTTGAAAAGGTGTATGTATTCATACAACTTATCCATCAGTTCACCAAAATGTAATATAGCTATGAAATGCAAGACTGTGTTGGGCAAAATGACTTCATACACATACACTTAAAAATTACATTAAGAACAGAAGTCAGCTAAAAGTAATTGCAAAAATGGCTCAGAAAGTGATGTTAGTTCTGATAAAAGCATAATCTGTTTGCTGGTTTGATATTTTATTATCTGATCCGATGACATTGATTCATTAAGTGTGACTTAAGTATCCAAATACTGTAACTGACCTACATTTACATTTACTCATTTAGGAGACGCTTTTATCTAAAGTGACTTACAAATGAGGAATACAAGAAGTGATACATCATAAAGAGGCAAATAACACAAGAGCTCGAAACACAGCGTTTTATGCATCATATAGGATAGAACAAGCTAGAATAGGGAAGAATTCTGGGAAAGTGAAAGCATAATTTTGTTTAATTAAGATGCAGTTAAGTGCTCACAGAAGTGATGAGTTTTCAGCAGTCTCTTGAATACTGGCAGGGATTCATTGTTCCAGACAGGGTCGGGAAGATCATTCCACCAACAAGGAACAGTGAACCAAAATGCAGTGGTGGACGAAGTACACAAATCAAGTACTTCGGTAAAAGTACAGATCCGTATAATAAAATATTACTCCAGTAAAAGTACTCGGTTTTCAATTTTACTCGAGTGAAAGTACAAAAGTACTTGATTTTTGATGTACTTAAGTAAAAAGTACCGATAGATGAATGTTTACTTTGCAGTTTTATATAGGCTACTTTTATAATTTAATTAGCATATTAATAGCATATATTTTTTTATAATCCTACTGCTCAAAATACCTGGGATTTTCCCAAAATAACCAATAAGGAAATAATGAATATAATAAGGAAAATATAATTAGATTTTCATAATGATTTTTTTCTTCTCAAACCTTGTCTGTGGTGTAAAAACACCCTGGCCAAATGCCCCCAGAGGGCATCAGCTCGTTAGCTAGACAGTTAGCATCAGCTAACATTGACTTATGTTCAGCATGGTTATGAATAAACATATACTGTATATATTTATATATATATACATATATACATATATTTGTCTACTTGGCTAGTTGATCCAGATACATAGTAACTAAGGCTATGTGTGCTGATAAACAATATATAAAAACAGACTCACATAAGGCTAAATGCGTAGCATTTTAATAAAAACTTTATTTAAACGTTACGGCAGCGGGTAATATGAACGTGCATGAGTTATTTTATTTAGTCTGTGTTATTTTAATGTTTCGTTTTTTTACCTAAAACATTGAGACACTGAAGTAAAAGTTACTCAAAATAAAACTACTGCAGTAAAGTACAGATACTTGAAAAATGTACTTAAGGACAGTAACGAAGTAAAACTACTCCGTTACTGTCCACCACTGCCGACCTCAGACATTGACGCTGACCTGCTTTGTGCTCTAAAATCTGATGGCCATACGAAGAAACAGATTTCATGCATTTCTCTTTCAGACACCTTGGTGTAATCAGTCTATTGCTGAAGAGCATCTTTTGTCTAAGCAGTGTGTCATGCATAAGGATTGGATGCATTTTTCATAATAGCACGTAGTTTGGAGAGAATCTCCTCTTTGCTTTTATCTCTGCCGACTCAGACTAAAGCTTCCTTCTTTTCGTCAGCTCAGTCCATTCCTTTACAGGGCCACTTTGGCCGTCTTGTTGTCCAGCACAGTCATCTACATAATAACTGCAGCCAAACAAATCCACATACAGTTATCATAACAGTGAAAGCTCAGTCCAGGGCACTCAATTCATACTAATTCAACTGTTTAGAAGCATTACAATGCTCCCAGGCGTCAAAGACAAGTGTGTGCGTTCTCTAAGAAGCATGAAATCAATTGCACACTACCTTTTAGCCCTCTTGCACCGCCGTGGGAAAACAACACATGCAGAGGTCTACGCTATTATGCTATTTACTTTCACAATTTGCTTTCACCATACAGGTGCATTATTGCCATGAGAGCTTTTTACAACTTCCCCAATCAGTCATACAAGGGTTTCAAGCATCCAGTATGACCTTTCGGTGTAGACTGAGGCTATTTGACATCAGAGTTCAATTTGCTTGATTACTGTGAGAGATGTTTTTCAAAACTTTGAGAGCATACCAAGGAAATGCACCCAAAAGCACTTGAATACTGTGGTCTGGACTAAGGTTTATGTGCACTCCAGAGTGTCCACAATTACTGTGAGGGCAATCTAACTTTTTGTTTTTTTTTCAGAAGAAAAGCTATTGATAACATTGTTTGCCCATTACAATGCATATACCATAACTGATGATCTTCCCAAACATTCCACGAGCATCTGAAGGCACTTTCTCAATGAAATGAATGTTTCTTGTGAGAGAGAGAGAGAGAAAAATCAGATTTGTTTCACTGAATCTCACTTTTATCTCTATTCCATCCGTGAAACTTTGTACTGCCTCCTTAAGATGAATCACTTCAGTTGTTGTCCTCGTTTGTAAGTCGCTTTGAATAAAAGCATCTGCTAAACGAATAAATGTGAATGTAAATTTAACTAGTCTATAAACAGCTTTCATATTAGGGAAGACTGAAGTCTCTTTAATTAAATCCTGTTTCCTTGCTGTTGAAAAAAAAAAGGTCTGATGAACATTTCAACTTTCTGATGACTAGTACCTTTAATGATTGTTTAATTTGGGTAAGCTCTGGCTTATTAGGCCCTGTGGAGGTCAAATCAACTTGCTCACTATGTCGATCAATGGACTTGTCCGGTCTTCCAATAATACTCTTGCTATCCTCTACCACAACATTTTTTTAATCTAAGAAATATTTCGTACATCTCTGAAACACAAATATTTGATCAGCACTGAAGTCAATGAAGTAATTCTTTAAGCATCAGGCCTTAATGAAAAACAACTCAATAAGATCCAGCACTTTGCCTTCTTTTATTTGGTTGCTTCTTTCGTTTGGCCCCGAGGCATCTTTTCAAACTCGAAGACGTCTCAACTCAGATTTCAGCGTATTATTTCACCCCCCATTTATTCCTGCAACCAACTCAATGCACCAAAGTACCATCACACGAATCACCCTGGAGATATGATCATTGTTATTGCACTGCATTATTGAATCTTTCATTAGCAGTATTAAAGGGATAGCTCACCCAAAAATGAACATTCTGTCATCATTTACTCACCCTCATGTCATTCCAAACATGTATGATGTTCTTTTTTCTACAGAACACAAAAGCAAATGTCTAGTGTTTTTTTTCTTTACGATAAAAAAACACTTTTAAATATCTTTGTGTTCTGTAGAAGAAATGTATACTGGTTTAAAACGACATGAGCGGGAGTTAATGACAATTTTCATTTTCGGGTGAACTATCCCTTTAAGATTGTTGCCGTGTTCATGCACGCACACGCACACGCACATGCGCACGCGCACACACACACACACACACACACACACACACACACACACACACACACCCTCTGTTTTCCCTTTCCTCTCCAAACATTGAGCCCAGATTGATAGTGAACTGTCTGCGAAGAGCTTTCAACCTCTCAGTGCAGTCCAGCTGACCCGTTTGTGTGATCCGTTTCACTTGGTCTTGCACACTTCCCCTCTGAACAAGCAAAGAACCTCTCACAACCCTGCTTTTTCAGATCAGCCCACAAAATATTTGAGTTACTAGAGAACTACGGCTCCTCCTAAATCCGTGAACGTAGTGGTGTAGGCGGTCAGGGCATTGGGCTGGTTGGTGTGGGATGTGGCTAAGTGTGGTGAATGCTGGCAGGCAGTGCCGTGTCGGGGAGTAGAACTCGAGGGCTTGTGGTTTGGATTGCTGTGGATGAAATCGGAGAACCTCTGGCATCCAGCTCGCTCTCTCCCTCTCGTTCCTCGTCCAGTTTTCCTTCTATATCTCGGTCTCCTTTGTATCCTTTTCTAGTCTGTGTTTCATAACCTGGTCTATCTCTCGCACAAAGTCACAGACAGCCAACGTGATTCCGCTTCTCTGCCTGCTGCTTTGAAAACCTGGACAAGAAGATTGTTTTTGTCTCAGTAGTTCTCATTTCCATGCGTGTATGTGTGTGCCATCTTCATTAGTTGTGCAATAGAGTGAGGTACGTGCTGAAAAGCATGAATTATATCCCTCTTTGTGTGTTTTGCAGTGAAGTTTTGAGAGCTTTAGAGTGAGATTGCTTTGTGTATTAAAAGGCATCATGGGTAAGAGGCTATAGCCATGCCTAAATGCTAACCCTCCTCATTAGATGGTGGCCTCTCGGGTGCAAAGAGAATGAGCTCGCCAAAAGAGTAGGTAATGTAATCTTCTCTGGCCAATAACCTCTCTAATAGATAATTGAAGTCTATTTTCTCATTTCCCTCTTTCTTTTCTATCTCGCTGGCCCAGCTCTTTTTTCTTTCATTCTGACTTACAAAAACAAAATAACCTAATAAAATAAAAAATGCACTTTTTTTTTCTTCCTCTCTTTCTCGATCACACCCACACACACTCTGTTTGCCCAACAATACAGTAGAAATTGTATCCACTAACCATATTTGGGCACATATTTGGTGTCAATATCAGTGTGAGCCGAAACAGGATGTTATAACACGTTTGTGGCCACCGAATGAAAAATCACACTCAAATAGATAATTCTCTTGGGCAAACATAAAACTCTGAAGTATCGATCTGATCTTTGTTTTCTTCTTATGGCAGTGCTTGTAATTGACAGTATAATAGCAATTGATCAGAATTGAGCAGAGGGGCAGAGGTGCAGAGGCATACGTTAGCAAAGGTTAATGACTAATGACAAGTCTTTTCCCATGCCTTTGACCAGTGCTGGGAGTAATGGCATTATTTTTCATACTCTACAGTAGGGCTGTCAATTTAACATGTTCAGTGATTCATTAAAAATAATAAAAGTACATTTTGATATACACAATTCTCAACAAATACCGATAAATACAATTAATTGTGATTAATTATAGATAGCCTGAATTTAATTTGGTGCAAAATCTTTAATACTGGCTGAAGTCTATATATACACAGTAGAGCATATATGTCCAAACTGCTGTGTAAAGATGTCTCTAGAGAACGAGCCAATCCACACACTTTACAATGCAAAAAGTTATGCAAAAAAATTATCCTGCTACTTTCCATAAAAAGTGATGATGCAATTAGTAACTTGAGGAGTAATGCAATAATCTTAAAAGAAACATTCCCAAACACTCCGGTAATCTGTTTTATATTATATTATAATTAATTTTCTTTCCTTTCTCTCCATAAATAATATTATTACATCCAGGACATCTGATTTGGTTGTTTTATGCAGCTGAAAATAGGCACGCTACGATTCTGTATGATATCATATAGGAACAATTTGTAGTCACTAAAACAATAGTACATTGTAAGCTTGATCTCATTAAGCAGTCAGGAGACTTCAGAAGTAAACACGAGGGCTCTTAAAAGCCATGTTTACCCAGGCTCAAAGCCCAGCAACACTCTTCTCCTGTCCCACTTTCCTGTTCAGGTGTTTTATGAGCGACCAAAGACAATTTCATTATAAAGCCTCTCACATTGTCTTTGTGATTTCTGCAAAGTAAATGGTTCACTGACTGACAACAAACAAGAACTTCACACACAGTGCCTAGTTATTGTGTGAGAGCACAGAAAGCTATTCAACGAACGTGAGCAGTGTGTCTGAGCTGAAACACATGGCCTGAAACACGCTCTGCTCTATTTACATATCAAGTTCAAAGTTTAAGTGGAAAACTCTTGATTTCAGAATATTTGGTCTTCCACAAATAAAACCCTCTTTGCTGTTTGATATTAAACCATGAACATGTCTGCCTTTTAGATGCCTCTTGGCTTCGTATCTGTGTTGAAGCTTGTTTACTTTTGCCTTGCATGTGTGTGTTTGTGTTCCTTTGTTGGGTCTTACGTGTGCGGATCCAAATAAGTCTTCTCCTGTGAAAACACTGAGCTAAAAGCTGACAGCGTGACACTCACCGAGGTGTGAGGAGACAGTTTTTGGCGGAGTGTCCGTGTTCAACATGTCTGTTATGACAAAGTGCAGATTTATAGACTGGCTCCAATTAAAAGAGCGATCTGTTTAACCCTCCACGCAGATGAACGAGGTGGTGAAAACGAGGAATCACGACACGTCCTCACAGTCATGCACTCTTTTAATGCTAAGCTGTGTTTATGAGCTGTCCCCATCCAGACTGATTTATATTAAATACTACACACAGGCTAATACACATCTCTTCGAGTATAGGTCAGACAGAAAAAGAGCATAGTTTTAAGGGGGGAGGGGGGACATTTTCCTTTCCTGTCTGTTTTGTGTCTCTTTCTTCATCTTCTGTCTTGTAGAATTATCTCAGAGACAGATGCAGTGATATATGAGAGAGAATAAGAGAGCTCAGGTGCTGTGGCTATGAATTATGATTAGTTGAGAGAATGATAATATCTCCATCTGTTGTTTACATTGACAATTTAGCGGAAGAAAATCTACTGCATGCAAACATATTTGGTGGAAATACTTCAATTATATAATTAAATTATATAATTATACTGGTCAAGCTGCCCTAAGAAAATAAGTACTGTGATGATACCAACATACTGTACATTACCATGGTACTCCAAGGTGCTTGAAATAATACCATGTTTAACCATGGTACATGTCCAAAAAAACAGGGCAATACAATTATACTTTTTTGTTTGTGTGAAAATTCAGACTTATTGTAAAGGGACAGATGTCTATTTGCTTATCTTTTTGGGCAAGATTGGAAGAGAAAATTGTTTCTTAGAAACAGATTTGGTCAAAGTAAAAAGGTTACTCTTCTTTTTGTGTTGTGCTCTGTCAAAGTAAAAAAAAGAAAAGAAAGAAAAGAAAAACACATTAATGTCTGCCATTAATGTTGCCACATAACCAGATGGCTCCAAATGGTCTCTCATTTATGAAAGTCCTCATGAGATTTTATTTTGGCTTTATTTATTGAAATGATATATAAGGTCTATTGTGTGGCATTCTCAAGAAATGATGCAATTTGTGCCTGAATATCTGAATATCTGTTTTTGTATTATTATTATTTCATTTGAAAAGGTTACTGCTGCACTTTCTAGAAAACATGGGTGACGTTCACACAGCAGGAAAAAAAAAAAGGCTGTCAGTCCTGTATTTGTGTGCTTTATAACGTGATGTGATATGTAGTTAAGTATTTGTGCTTTGCATTTCACCCAATCCAAGTGCACACACACAGCAGTGAGTAGTGAACACACACACCATGAACACACACCCGAAGCAGTGGGCAGCCATTTTTGCTGCAGCGCCCAGGGAGCAACTGAGGGTTCGGTGCCTTGCTCAAGGAGCACCTCAGTTGTGGGTAATGTGGAAAGAGAGCGCTGGTCATTCACTCCCCCCACCTACATTTCCTGCCGGTACTGAGACTCAAACCTATGACCTTTGGGTTACAAGTCCAACTCTCTAACCATAAGGGCACAGCTGCCCCAAATTTATACAGTTAAGTTCACACAGAGTTCGGTTATTTATGAGAGTGACAACCGCATTCTATAACCTAACTCACACCTGTACAGGTTCAGGACTCACAACCTCACTTTCGGTGATCGGAACCGCTAGACAAGTCTGTCAGGTCACTGTCACTCTTCTTTGTTTGTTTGTTTGACCGAGAATTTAAAGGCAACTAATTTAAGTACATAATTATTATTATACAGCGACAACTTTTGGGACAGAAACTGTTACGTGTTTTCATGTGTGCTTTTCGTACTTACAAAGACGAAATTATGAGCTGTGTGTCATCTGAAGGTTTTAGATCCAGTCACTCGTTGCGTCAGTTTTGCACGTGACTCAAATGCTCCGTTTCCAACTCAGGTAGGCTATAGAAGCTGAAATCGGTTAAGTAAGATTTGACTGATGAACTTGCGAATCGATTTGAGACGCGTTGCATCAACTTTATAGTGAATATCGACACTGCCATCTTTGATATTTACTTTAGTCACTGTCACTATACAGGTGATATTTACAGCTATGTCAAACATAGAAAAGTTTGAGAGCAGTTATTTATTCCAACAGTAGCGAATCAAATATTGTAAGTAAAATGTTGTGTGAATGGAACAATTTAATAGTCACACCTGTTACAAGATATGGTGCCAATCCAATAAACAGTTTAAAAAAAAAAAGCATTAATATAACAATATTTATGTGTATTTCACATTTATTAATTTTATGATGAACAAAAAATCAGTTTGGGTTGATATTCTAATAAAAGAAAAACAAAATGGATTTATTAATATAACACTGATTTATTCATAATTAATTTGCTTTTTATATTTATTTTGCAGTATACATTTTTGCAGTATATAGTCATAAGTCACAGGGACACACGTGGACCAAAAATGCACTCTTTCCTGAGAATAATCCAGGTAGATTTAAAAGTAATGAGCTGATTGATTGGTGTTTTGGCATTTGGGTTTTGAATGAATGAGTACACTTCTAATGAGTAAGCCTATTTTAGATCCTATGATACAGGATTACATCTGTGATTTGCATCCTGTGTTTAATGCCAATTTTCCATCCTGTTCCTCCTTGCAGCGTCACAAGCCAAAGTCATTAATGTTCCTTCTACATAGACATAATATTTTTCAATTTATTTTTGGCAGTACAGTAAAACTACAACCTACAGGGCTCAAAATTGTTGTTTATTTAGTTTAGTACACTTTAAAACAGCTGGTTAAAACTCCAAAGGGCTCGATTTACATTCGTTAATGAAGTCCTGAATGAATGTATACTGTTTATGGTAATTCTCTAGTGAAAATAAATGTTACTTCAAGAATGTATGAATCCAGCCATGAAGCTGAAGAGTGCGAGTGTGACATTTTTTCGGCTAATTTGTATATGAGATCGGAAGAGAAGGTCACGGATGGAAAGCCAAGTATTGTCTCAGACTCTCAATTCTCGTTTTAATTAGTGCGGTTAAATACTCAACCCTCCGTGCAGGTCTCTTTATACAATGCAGGATATAATTGCTCTCGTTTAACTATGAACTCAGTCTTTGTGTTTGCCCTCCTGCTCTGAACACACACAGGATATTTTATCAATCGGTGTGTGTCGTGAGCTCACTCTCATTGGCAGGAATGTCATCCCAGGAATGTGTATTTTTGGAGCAGCCAACACAGGGAATGACAGGCATATCTCCGCCTTCTGGCTTATTAATATAGATAGTCCTGATGGTGTGAGTGTGTGTGTGTGTGTTTATGTGGCGAAAGAAAGAGCTGATTTGACTTCCTTCTCCTCTACTCAGTATCTTAATTGTGAGGCAAAGTAGATTAAAATCCTAATAATCAAATTTGGGGTATAGCACGCAAAGGTTTTTAAATGATTTCCACAGCTAAGTGAGTACAGTGAGATTTTCATCATTATGCCAGTGCCATTATACTTTCTAGTAATTTTCGGTAACACTTTACAATAAGGTCCCATTAGTTAATGTTAGTTAATTCATTAAGTAACATAAACTAGCCTTCGAAGTATTTAACTGTTAGTTCATATGAACTAATTAATGTTAACATAAGGAACCTTATTGTCAAGTGTTACCTAGATGTCCAATATTTACAACAGAAAACTTCGTAGAAGTTGTAAACTTTAAATTATGTGTATTATTTTATTTGCTTGATTCACCAGGCATTTTTGACTGTTTTGGGTAGAGAGGTAAAAGCTCATCGTCTTACTTCAGAATAGTACACTATGTTATGCTATGCTACGCTAAGAGAATGTTCTCCTTAGCCTTGAGAATGTGGTGAAATGGAAACAACGAGTGATGAATCCTTGTGTCCATGGGCATATTCTTAGTAGAACATATCATCCACGGGTGCCGAGACTGTCAAAGATGCCTCTCATCTCTCAAATCATACACAGTTATGTTTATTCTGTTTAGCGTTTTGCTACACAGGCTATCTGTGTTTGATTTGTAGAGATACGTGTGCGAGAAGCTGTAATGTACTGAGATATCAGCAACACTCCCATCTGTCTCTATAAGCAGAAACATCCTTGAATAAATGTCTCGTCTCTTCATATCATTGTATTCGTCATTTTACTGGTCAGCAAGACCAAACTTTAATGATTGCTGTCCTTCTGTTTAGTGTGTTTGTGTGTGTATCAGGCTATGTGTGTCAGTGCAGCATTCGGAAGAGACGCACACCCATTCATTTCCTGGTCTGACAGAGCAATCTAGATAATGAGAGACTCTTTACTGGCCTCAATTGAACTGTTACTCAGCATAAATGAGTTCAATAAATCCATTCTACACAATCAGATGCTAGATAAGGAATATCCAGTGGCTAAAATCTTCATATCATTATGAAACGCAGGCGTTGTCACTCTTCATTTTGCTCTGCGAGTTGAGCGGATGCTTGTGTGATGTGTGTATGTGTGGTGTGTAAAGGGATAGTTCACTTGAAAATGAAAATGTATTAATTTACTCCCTCTCATGTTTTTCAAAACAACGTGGGACACAAAAGTAGATAATGTCAGTTTTGTTTCCCCATAAGTAATGTAACACATTTTTCACTGAAATTCTTGTAAATCTATTTAGCATACATAGTACTAATAAGCAGCATAGCATGTTGTTCACACTTGGTGTTGGCAAACTATGGCAGAAGGCCATTAGAAGATTTTCAGCTAAAAATATCCAAATTTGAGTCTTTCCTTACACAAAGCTATCATATACATGGCAAGGTAAGTATAACACAATAATTTGGTTATGAGTATTATTTTACTTACCTGCATGACTTTCAACAGGTATTTTTACTATTTTGGGCATAAAGGACATAGTAGATGTTAAAAAATTTTTTTTCCAAAACGAACTTTTTCATTTAAAATTTGTAAATCTAATTAGCATATGTAGTGCTAATGGTCAGCATAGTACCATAGCATAATGTTTTTCACACTTCACATAAGGCAAGATTTTCAGTGAGAAAAATAAACTGTAGACTTTTTTTCACACTAAGCTGGCATGGTGAGTATTATTTTATTTGCCTAAATGACTTTCACCAAGCATTTTTTACTATTTTGGGCACAGTAGTTTAGTACTTTGTAGTCTGGTAGCCTGCAGTCTTCACTACGTAATTAAAGCTGCGACCGTTAAGTGCATGACGTGTCCAACATTCCACACTTTGTTTTTTTTTTCCAGTTAAATAAGTGCATCATCTGTGTATTTGAAGTGCACTTGTTCTTGTAGAATAGTGCATTATTATGCAAATTGGGACGCACCTTTGGATATGCAAGATTTTTAGGCAAAGTTGAATCTTTTCCTCACACTCGCTGTTGCACTGCTTTCGTATGGCTTCGATGCAAGTATAGCATTTTTTTGTAGCTTGACAAACAGGCCACTATCCACTTTTGTTGTACATTTTATTGTAAAATAGCAGCGTGAGCATTCTGTGTCCGCTCTTGTGTTCCTGTACATGTTTGGAATCACATGAGGGTTAATAAATGATGACTGAATGATGAATGAGTGTAAACTAACTCCTCTATGTGCACCTATAGTCTCATTTGTGTCATTCTTTCTGTCTCTCTCCTCTCTTACTCTTGTGGAGAAAGGAACAGATGGGCGGACAAGTCACTGGCTCTATTTTATGGGATGAGAAGACCCAAGAGACAAATTTTTCATTTCCCAGAGCCTCTGTGCGCACTGTTGCATGGTGCACCTTCTCTCTCTCTCTTTCTCTCTCCCTTCCATTCCTCTTTACCTCGCTGTCTTTCTCCTTGTCAGAACAGATGGAGCATATTTTATGTTCTCTTTCAGCTCTCTCAGCCTTGAGGAAATATTACAATAAAGCTGAAATGCCATGCATTAGGACAGACCTCATCTGTCAGTGGTATCTTTTCTTCATTATATTTGCTATATATATATATATATATATATATATATATATATATTATAAATATATTTAATTTTGAGGAGCTGTAAAAGTTTTTACATATATTAAATAATCTATTTTTTAGGTAATGATTAAGATGTTTACACAGATCTATTCAAAGTACACTGAAAATATATCATTACTTTTTACCTAATGGACTTCATGACATCTTTATAGTTATTCAGTTATTATTATTTTTATTTATTTATAAAACTCTTTTTTTTTTATAACTATTTGAAACCAACATGAATATAAACACTACTATGAACTTGGAACGTGTTTTACACAATATTTTTTAAAAGATCTGCCCTTTTCTTTATCGTGGACACTCTTATATGTCATTGACCCAGTTGCCATCTTT